TTGTCATTTGTCAGTGTAGTAACAGGCTTCCATGATTGGTTCCCATCTTTTATTTTTCTGCAAAACAGCATGTATCTCACTTGTTGCACAGCACAGTACAATATAACAGGTACTTCTAGTTTGCTTGGTCTGTGATTCACTAATCAGCAACATCTGCTTCGTGGGCCGTGGAGTGCAGGAAGGACCATCTTGCTGTGCTCTGGGCTCGTTGGGAGCTTTGTGTTTTTCTGTGCTATTTTTGGCTGAGATAGTAACTTGAGAGAACTACTGATATATACACAAATGCTAAATTATAATAAGTTAACAGAAGAAAGAGAGACTGTCCAGTAAAAAAGAGGCTATAGATTCTCTGATTGTTCTTGTGGGGATCTTGTATGAATCAGTGAGGAATGCCTGAGTAGGAAAAGTGATGTTCTCAGAGATGACACATTTCAATACTCACAGAAAAGGGAAATAATATTTTATGTCTGGTCAGCTTTACAGTTTGAAAGAAACACTACATCAGAAGCTGTTCTACAATGCGATCCAAGCTGGTCTGTCTCTGAAAATCAGTTCTCTTGCTTTTCATATCATGTCCAGGGCTAAAGCAGTTTTCAGACAGGGTTAGAAACTTCTAAGAGTGAGGTATAACTTAATGAAGCAGGGTTGGATGCGGTTTGTTTGTTTCTTTGAGTTTTCAGATCTTTTGGTTTAAGCGTGAAATAAGTGTTACACCTGTTGTGCATTGTCCCTCTTTGATTTCTATGTTATAGTAGACTGTTCCTGACATGACTTTGGAGCCTTTAGGAATCTGTTCTTTAAATTCATTTCCTCTTTACCCAAGAAGCTAGAAACTTGCATCAAAACATTATTCTTTATCTGTCTTGATTTATTTATTCATTTATCCAAACAGAATTTTGCACTTTGCCTAGAGTAATCCTAAAGAATAACAATTTACACATGCAAACATGGACAACAGAAGGCAACATGGTGTTTGAACAACATTACTGTGTTAGGAAAATACTTTGATTACTACATGAAACAGAGTTTCTACGGTAACTCAGTACATTTTTCAAGATAGTCATCTCCATTTGACTCACTCCTGTGTGAAGTCGTACAGAAACTTTAGTCTGTCCTACAAATTGTTTGCCTCTAAGATACAATGAGCCTTAGGTTACCAAAGAAGTCATCATCCTGACTGGGAAGGGATAATAAAATTATTTAGCCTCTGTTTACAGGAAAGTTACTAAAACAAGCGTAGTTGAACTTCAATGCAGAATTGAAAGTTTTTAGAGAATCCCTGTTGGTTTGATTTCTGTGTAATTTTGTGAAAAACTCTGGAGTGTAGTAAGACACATAATTAAAGGTTGCATAATGTGAGATATTTAAGCAAATGAAGCAGACTTGCATTTCCACTAGCATACGTGCATGATTTGGGAATGTATTGAAGTAGCTCTGTCTGTTGCTGTCTTGGTTCAAGTTAATATAAGCCTTTCTCAAGTTGGCTCATACTGGTGCTGGTTAGGTTACAAGTGAATGAAGTTATAAATGTGAACCCACAATTTGTATTGTATGTTATAAATCAGGTTTAGACTGCTGTAATTCCTTATGCATTCATTTTGTGTTTAGCCATAGTGTAATCTGCAATATTTTCCCAGTTTTAGACAACAGAGACATCCTGGTCTGCTGACAGTTCACACTGAGGTATTTAGTTCTAACTTGAGATAAGAGGAAGTGCAATTCTATCATGATAATTATGATAATTATTTTTCCTAACCTTGTGAAACACTACTTATTTACTTCTCTTGTTCAAAAATAGATGTTCCTACTTTAAAAACTGAAGGAAGAAATTTTTCTTTTCAAAAATTGGAGTTGGGGATATTGTTTTCATTAGTTATCTGTCCCTGCAAATTGATGACATGTGATGTGCTGAAAGATTTTTACTTGCATTGCCAGCAGCAGTCTGTAAGTTTACTGCCTTGTAGGTTGACATAAATACAAAAAAAAAAAGAATCACTTTGTCTGTGGGGATGTAGAGATGTGTGATGTGTTAGTAGAATTGCAAGGCTGCTTTCCTTGTGGTTCATCCTGGATCACATCAGTGGGCTGCAGCTGTTCTTAGCCCATATTACGTTTTCCATCTCTTTAATTTTTTTTTTTGTAGCACACTTGATGTTTTGGGAACTCTTCAATAAAGTCATTCTCTTGGGGTAAAATAAGATTATACATCATGCGAAAACTGCCCATTGTCTTTTTGATGTCCATTTAGGAATTAGTTAAATTCTGAAGTAGTAACATCTGTTTTTATTACTACTTAGAGATGCATAAGCTTGCTCTTATTTTTGTTTCTCATTTGATTGATTCAACTCCAAGCCCTATGCTTCTTACCTCACATTGGGTGTAAATCTTATTTGTAAAGGTGTTAACAAATGTTGCTTGAGAAAAGGTCAACTTGTTAGCTTTTTACTGGAATATATCCTCATTTAGCTTCTTTCTTTACAGCTAAACTTCATAATGATATGTTTTATTCGTTTTAAAAAAAAAAAAAAGCTGTGTTGTCATCTATGGGCAAAATGCATCGAACAGCTTTTGCATGTTCTTGATGCATTAACTTGCCTTGAATAAATATGAGATACTCTCAGTTGTATTGTGGACAAAAGTTTACCAGGGGCAATGAACTGACAGACCCTTCATTAAGTGGTGTTGAAGGCACTATTGTGTGATCCTCTTGAAGATAATATCCTAACTAGGACATTTTTCTCAATAACAAGAGAGTTTGGCAGTCTCTGTGAAAATGTTTTCCTCTTGTGCTCTCAAGAATTGTCTGCCTTTGCTATGTAATTGCTATAGTATTTTAGCTCTTTCATTTTCCTCTAAATTTATAACTGCCTTATACTTAATCTGTTTGCTATACAAAGAATTTTTGGTCTTTCTGTAGTGGCAATTTTATGTAGACTCAATGCCAGAGTACCCCACTTCAAACAGTTCGATGTAACTTAATTCTGTTGACCAGGAGACACTGCACATTTGTAGGAGTGCATAATTGAAGTCTAAGGTGGGAATTTGATGATGGAAGATACAAGATTTTGGGACATGTAGCCAAAATTTTTCTGCAGTCTGATCTCCGTGCTTCTTTACTGACTTCTAATACATTCATAAAGCTCCAGAAGGGCCTTTGTTCTTTTTTTTTTTTTGATCTTGGAAATGTTGGGGGGGTGAAGGAATCTTTTTGTCATTTTTTTTCTTGATATATTAGCAGCTTTGAGGAACTCCTTCTGCCCTTTAGGGGAAGGATATAATTAAGTGCCAAGTAACCAGAAAGATTCCTAGAGAAGATTACTGTGTTAACTGGGTCATAGAAGCAGTGGCAAGAACAAGAAGTCGATGGGAGCTCCAAGAGTCAATGCTAAACCTGCCTATGAGTGTTTGTGCAGTGGTGTGTCCAAAACCATCAGTACTCCACACTCAGAACATTGGGAAGCACAGAGATGAAGCACGCAGCTGGCTGCAGAATAAGCAGCTTGGATTGGATTTATTTGTTCTTTCTTTGTGCCAGATATAGGCTGGCTTCATCCAGACTCGCTCAGTTTCCTCTGTTCAGGGCTTGTTCATGCTTCCAGTAAAGTGAAAGGTACCCGTGGAGACTGAGCTGCTTTTGTCTGGAGCCAGCCTAGGTCCAGTGCCTCACCATCTCTTATTCTGTGCTACGTGAAAGAAATAAGGTGACTTCCAGCCATAGATTGTCTCTGGAAACTGTGTAGGTGCATCTGTGTAGCTCTACACCTGAGCTAATAAGACCAACTGGATTAGAGCTGATTTTTTTTTTTTTTTTTATGGAGACAGCATTGTGCTTGTATCCTTGTGGTTACTGAGAAATTGGCTAGAAACATGTAGGGATAATTGGGAATTGACTGTATTTGACTTCTGCGTGTTCTGCTTCACATGTTCTGCTACCTAACTGTCTTTCGGTCCTAATACACTTTAATCTTGCACATCTGATCAAACTGCAGTCACGTCATTATAGTTTATTAAAATCATTGTCACATCACAGCAGTTAGTTTTTTTCTTCACTGGATTGTGTGTTTGATTTTAACTGGCACTTGGCACTAGCTGCTTCATCTACTTTCTTACTACTGAGGAAACGTGAGTGGGAAGCACAGCAGTAGAATGACTTCTGTCTGTATCTTGAAGGTATCACTAATGTGTTTTCACATCCAGGAATACTTTTATCCAGTAAACACTTACTGTACCAATTGAGCATTGACTGCAGCTCTCTGTTCCAAAGAATGTTGCTGGAATGGCAAAAAAAATAGCATGGCAGAAAAACAGCAGATGTGAAAGTGCTCCTACATAGTAGCACTAATGGCTGAGTAGTTTTCCTCATGGGCAAGTTTCATTTTTCAGTTCTTTTAAGATAAGCCTTTGAAAATGATATGAATTTTTACTAATAGTCAAATGAGGAGACACGCTGACAAAAAAACACAGCTGTATATAAGTTCACTTATTCCTTTGCTGACAGGAGACTGAATCAGACAGACTGGATCATGCAAAGGAGTTATTGTGACATTGTGACTTGTGACACATTCACTAAAGATGTTCTTGATTTAAAGATGTCATTTTTATAAAATTAATCCTTTAAAAATGTTTATTGCGTACAATAAACTGCACCCAAGGATCATGCCTGTGAGAATGACTAGTAAATGGATTGACAGAGAATTGCAGGATCCAGATCAAGATGACAAGCTAGAGGCAGTTTTACTGTTTCTTCTCTGTGAATTTAACCTTTTTTGGTTTGTGTCTTTGTGCAGTAGAAATTTCAGGAAAGCTGCAGGGGAAACTGCTGGTGTAACTGAACTTTCTGGTGACTCAGTATCACTCTCTTAAAAAATAAAAAAAAACTTGCAGATACCTGTCATATCCACCTTTTATTTCTTTTTGCTTGTGATGTTGTGTAATAACAACAGAGTATTTTCATAGTACAACCTATATTTTGACTATTCCTAAACTTTATATTTCCCTAGGTTGTGGAGAGCACCTTGTCCGAACCATACTGGCCAGAGAATGTTCTTGTGCTTTGCAAACAGAAGATGCCCACCAAGCTCTCCTAGAGACTATGCAAAACAAGTTTATTGGTGAGTATCTGGTACTAATTGCCTAAGCATTTCACAGCGTTGCTCAAAATGCAATTAACTCTATTAAATAAAGGTGACATGCTTATTTTTGTGATTTCTCTTGAAACCTTATGTGGTTGGCTTCAGATTTAGAATTGTGTTACATCTAAACAATGTTAAATCAAAGTACAGAGAAATATTTTAGGAAACCTAAAGGGAAGCCCTTGGAAATTTTTCAGTTGATATATGAGTCAAGGAATAACTGGAGAGGTTTGAAAAAAGAATTTCCTGTCTGAATCACTGGCTGTGGTGTGCAATTGCATACTTCAGAGGTGGTTCAACAGCATTAATAAAAATTGTTCATCACATTAACCCTTTTAAATATAGCAGACCTCAAAACCCCTGCAGGTTCTAATTGAATAGACACCGGTTCTGGTTTATGATTTACATTATGAAATTGACTTCATAATTTTCATTCTGACAGCATTATGTTTGACTATTAGAGAAAGAGCTATCTTCACACTAGAAGGCTGCGCTTCACAGTCTGCTGCTGTACTGCAGTCATTTTTAGGTGCTGTGAAAATGCAGAATTTTAGTATTTTTTCCAAATATATTATAATTGAAGTAGAACAAAACTAACTTTTTAATTTGATCATTTATTCCAGTGCAGGAAATCAGGAATATATCAACACAGAATATCAGGAATTTATGACTAAGAGGTCTTCAGAAATGAGACCTGATAGTGTCGCCAATTAGTGACAGGACTCTGAAGGTGCTATATGCAAGTGACCTGCCTTCAGGAGAACCAGGGTTTTGGTCTTCATACTCTCTAAACTTGCTGTGCTGTTGTAGCAAACCAAAAGGAAACATGCATTTAGAATATCCTAATTTCCTTTCATTTTAACAAACACAGACGTGTGAGCACTAACAACAGCTAATAATAAAATACTTCTTAATAGCACTCCATAGAAACTGGCTGATAAAAGATGAAGAAGTTCAGGAACTGTTTAGTTGAGGTTCTTTTTTCAAGTCACTTTGAATCTTTCTTTTTTCCCCTTTGAATGTATTTTGAATATATTTTGCATCAGTTTGCTTAGCACATGTTTTCGTTTTAAATGCAAACTGGCATGTGATATATGAATTATTTTCTTTGATGAAAATATTTGTATTGGACTTAAGAACATATTGAATGTTGCTTAGCGTTTTGTTATACCTGAAACTATCAATTGCAGAGAAAGAGGAGCTGGACAGACAGAGATACTGGGCTAACAGTGCAATATCATATGGCCTTGGGAAAACAGACTTAAAACAACAAAACAAAAAGTTGTGGGAAATGACAAGTGGGAGAGGCAGGATCAAATTCATGCTTTACGTGGTAGGCAAGCTTGGGGAAAAGCGTTTTATAATTCCTCTTCGTAATTTCTCATGCTAATTAGCTATGGATCTTATTTCTATTTTCAAAACTTATCATTGCAGGTTTTTGTTATCCATCAGTAAGGATGTGTATTACCTTTTTCTTCAGGGCAGCACTGAAGTGAAAAAAAGGGATTCAGCCACCTTCTTGTATATGTAAAATGCTTGAATCCTGTGTTTTGTAGCAAATTGGGCAATTTTGAGGGACTTTGCAATTTTGAAAATGTAATGCAAAGTCACATCATGCTAATATAATGCAAGAGCTGAAAAAAATGCACAGCACATCAAACATTAGGTAGAAAATAGTTTGTTAGTTGTTTTTTTTTTTTCTTTCTGTCAATTTCCATAGATGTTGATGTATTATTTCTTACCTCAAGATGTGTGGCATGATTCAGAATTACTATTTCTAAACAATAAAATGAGGTGAAACAATTTACTAGCCTGCTTGCTAATGGCATGGATTCTTTCCTTGATAGACTTTTCTAAAGCCCTATTTTGTGGCAACATCAAGATTTATCCAGAATTATGATGGACCAAGGCCAAAAAAAATTAATAGCTCTAACAAAGCAGAGCTGGAATGTTTTGTCAGAAGTTAGAATGTGTGTTACTTGTATTGGAGGGAGGAACAGCTGATTTTGGCAGTTGCCATCAGATTGGTGCTTCCTGTTTACAGAACTCTTCAAATCTCCACAGAGTCCTGGGAATCCTTCCAGCTAGGGAATGCCTGGCTTAAACAGTGAGTGCTGTTTAAACAGCAGGTGATGAACAAATTAATGGCAGATGTGCTTGTCTCATCCTTTCTCAATGCCAACCTGCTGTGAATGATGCTCAATTGATGGTTAGAACAGAGGTGGGAGAAATTAAATTTCAACTGCTTCTAAGTTGAGCGGGCTTGATGTTTTCTGTAGGAGAATGCTAAAGCCGTTGAAGAATGGTGCTCTGTAAACAGAAATATCTTCCATACAGAAGAACAGAGGATTTTGTTACTCATCATTCCTTTCAAATATGGCCAAGTTTGTGGAATGTAGACTTAGAGTAAATGTTTGTGTCATCTCACTGGCGGGAAATCTAGGCTTTTAGCAATGGCAGTGTTTTGAATTCTGCTTTAAAGTTTCTTATAAGGTTTTGGAAAGTAATGAGCTAATATACATGGGTGGACCCTGATATTTATTCTTCCTTTAGCAGAAAAGTCCTATCTATTCTTGTACTTATAAGCAGTACTTCAGTTCTCCGATGAACAGTGCCTACAGGAAGGTTATGACACCATGATGACACTGAAACTTTCCCTTTTAGAGGTCTTGTGCCAAACACCTCCCTTGGGAGAAGGAGCTTGGACAGTTAAGAATCATAGAGCATAGATTTCCCAATTGTGAGCTTAGCTGACAGGCTGAAAAATCTTTGTGCTTAAACTGTTGCTAGAGTGCCGGCAACTGTTGTTACAGTGTTGTTATTGCTTTATACTGAGATGCTGCATCACTCTAAGCTTTGTAGTATCCTCCTGAAAGCAGAGGAAGCATGCTATGGAAGCATTAATATGCCTTCTGTGATACAGAGAAAGAGATTTGAGAAAAGAATGAAATGATCCTGAAGTTTCATGTAACATATTTCATCCACTGCAAGGTTAAGATTTCACAAGTGTGTGCGCGATGGCAGACAGCACTGAGCAGAGCATTGCATTATCTATGCAATAAAACCCTCTAAAAAACTACCACTGCATGTTTGTGTTACACTCAGGTTTGTCTAGCTCCTGCCTGTGCTTCTCCTTATTAAGAGCACTGGGCTTTTTTTGGATAGCAGTATCCTCATTTATTTAACTTCTTAAAATCTTGTTTTTAAATTTAAAAGTACAGATGCTTTCCCTTGCAGCTTCTTCAAAAATTTAAAACTGAGGTTTTAAATTCTTATTATCATAAAATATAAAATCTCTGGTTTCAGACAACTTGTGCTTGAACATTTAACAAATGACAATGCATTAAATTAAAAGCTGGCTTAATTTAGTGCTCATGTATTCCTGTAACATTTATTTAAGTTGTTAGCTTGATACATAGCGTGATACATAGTGGGAGCGCAGAAGTGAACAGCTTCATTTTCAGGATTTTTTGTACAAAAGCTGATAAGGTGCAGTGATGTAGGTGAAATATGGACCTAGGAAAATCTGAATTTCACTCATGTTGTGAAAGATGCACAAGAAGATACAGAACTGTTTAGTTGGAGGATGCTACAGCAACTTAATTGATTCCACCACTCCACATTCAGTGTTCAGAGTAAGGTTCTGAAGACTTTGAATGCTAATGTAAACAGGGAAGCTGGTCATGGTTTCTCTGCTATTGAAGACTATGAATAGCAGACATCTGATGAACAACTGGTTAGTCCTTCAACTGGGTAACTGTGAAGAAAACACTTTTTTTTACTTTTACATATCAGATCTGTGCTAGACTGCATCTGTCTAGTAGCACAGGGTCAGAAATGATTAGCACATATTGATCATATCCTAAAAAAAATGTATATATGGTTTGGACTAAGTGCTGTTCAGCTTGGAAGGTGCTTATTTGTAAAATTTCTTTGCATTGCTTCAGCCAATTCTGAGACTGAACCTGGGTCTTGGTGATCAGCTCTGGTTGCTCTTCCAGAACGTGATGGAATCAGTGAATGTGGAGCAGCTGCGAAGATATTTGCTTGTTTTCAAGAGACTGTTATTGCAGATTAATAACATACAAAATATATAACTTAAAACTTGATAATGCTTTCCATGTGTCAGTAATAACAGAATAGTTGAGCTTCGAAGGAGACAAATATGTTCTGTAAAACATAATTTTGTGATTCAAGGAGGTGAGAATTAAAATATATTTTTTATTCGGTTGGTTTTTACTACCCCTTCTCTCAGGTGTGACCAGTCAGAGCTTGCATTATTTTCTAATGTCCTACTACAAGTTTTGCTTTGGATTTTTCTTGCCAAATTCTTCAGTGTTACACCAGTATAAATGGACAAGGAGCAGTGAATTTCACTTGAACTGATGCTGCCCATGTTTTTGTAGCTTTGTGATTAGCAAGCTATGAGATCAATCATTAAAAATATTTTTGAGTAGTAGGCATATTTTGTTTTCACTGATTTTTTTAATTGTTTAGCAAGATCTATCATTCTTAAGAGTACCGAGAGAGAAAAACTGATGTAGAAACATGGAAGTCAGATCACTTTTTCCCTTCTCATGCAAAACCATGATGGCTTTCACATACGTGAAAGTTGCTCAGTTTCATCTTTTACTTTTCAATTTAAAAACTGATTTAATGTTATATGTGTATATGTGTATATATATGAAAAATGCCATTATTAACATAATTAATATTATTATTATTTTACAAAAGTCTGCCATATTCTTCCTTTTTCTTGAAGGCTTGGCCATAATAAAATCATTTTTGGAAGTGAATTAATGACATATGTTCATAATGTTTGAATTCACAATGTTTTGAGAATACTCAAATTATTTCCTGTGTACACTGCATTAATTGTATTTAGAAGTGAAGTATAATACTATATTTCTACCATTATTTTCAGAAGCTTACTAATGGATGTACATCTTTCATTAATATATTTGAATCCCTCTTTTTTAAAAAAGTGCTTTAATTGGAAAATAAAATACATTCTGTTTTAAAGAATGTACAACTCAGCATGTATTTGGTTTGGCTTAGATCTTATTTTAAGGGAGGAGAAGCAGTCTCTCTGAATTTACTGTTGTGTAGAACGCCGTAATGCTATTATTGTAGGCAACTGTTTTTTACTGTCAGTATTTAGAGGTTGATGGGCCACAACTTAGCGAGTGCAGGAGCTGGAGGCACCTTACATGTTGCTGTTGTTTTGCACTGAGATGGTTCAGCTGAAATTGCTGGTGAAAGCACTTGGAACAGGTGAGGGAGCAGCCATGCAGTTTGCTTCCACCTTATGAGAGAGATAATGCATCCCATCATCTTTGCTCTGATTGCAATACAAACTTGCTTTTTGGAAATATGTGACCAGGATCTATTTCGGCTGCAGTGCAAGTGCTTGGTTAATTTTGCAGCTCAACACATTTTAAATCATGCATAAATCATGCCATTGTTTTCCTATTTAAAACTATGGGAATCTCATTTCATATTACTAACCAGAAAAAGAATACTTAGACTTGATTCAGCTAACTTTAAAACTTTTCCAGCTTCTGATAGAATATTTTTATATCTTATGTCTTAAATTAACAACAGAAAAGCCACTTGAAAAAGTAGACTTTTCTGCTAATATTTATAAAGTAGTAAGAAAGATTGTCTGTAGCAGTTGGATTATATCTCTCTACAGAGTGCTTTAAATTGGGAAAAAATGAATAAATTATAAAAGTAACCCAAATTTGCTTGATTTTTTTCACACGTGGCCATCTTTATATTAATTACAGTACAAAAAGAAATAGAAGTTGAGACATGATTTTTTTTTTCTGCTTGACAATCCATTTCTTGTTATTATAACTTCCTCGGTCCAAGAACAAATGGGTTTGCACACAAATGTAATAACTTCCAATTTTTATTTATTCAGTGTAGCTTTTTTTCCCTTTTTGATCACTGATACATTGTGCCATGAGTCATTTACTTTGAAGAACTGTGTTTTTTCACATTCCGTTTAAAAAATGTAATAAAGCAGAATTCCTAAGTGTTAGTATCTGATTTCAGGTATTGTAATTTAAGTCTGGAATGATGCCAAAAAAGGCAGTGAAAATACAATGATGTATGAACCATATATATTGGTTCTCTCAATATTTGGAGTCTTGGAAAACAACTTCTGGTTATTGATGTGTAGCCAGCTTCCATGATGTATCTTTAAAGTCATGAAGCTTTGTTTGTGCCTTTGTCTGCTAGGCATGGGGGTCTTGAAGGTTCACATGCAGTATCCTTGATTTCAGTGGCACTCTAAAAGACTACAATTTCTGTCAGAAATACATTTCTAAAGATTATAAATGAATAATGTTACTGAGAATTGAAATCTGAAGAGGATAGATGCTTCTGAAACTAGAGAAATGGAGCAAGTTTGGGAGATATTCTTTAGAATTAATGGAAGATTTCTATAGCCCAACAGTTGAACTTAAGTTTCAGCCTCCGACTGTTCTGAATTGTATATGAAAAGATAAATTATTTGTATTTGAACTGCCTGTGCTATGGTGAAAAATTGTGATCTACATTAGATTGATTTTCCAGAAAAAGACTATTGACACAGTTTCACTGATGTCAGGTTTGGAAAGGGGGCTTCAGTGAACTCACTGAGTCTTACAGAGCAGCCTGAGGTTGGAGTGTCTCATGGCACAGCCTGGCTATCTTTTGCACTTTCCTCTTGTGTGAGAGGTATTTGATCTGACATGAATTTAATGTGCTGAGAATTTGTGACTTGCTCTAGAATCCAGACTGAACTCAAGATTTCAAGTTTGGGATGTTCGGATTTGCATTGCCTGCAGAAAAATGTAGCAGCAACAGAAAAAGTTCATGGCATATAATTTTTCTGTAATTCAAAGTTCTGCATTATTTCCATATACAGATAAGAAAGAGTGTAAAGCTGCTCAGAAAGTGGCGAGCAAAGCTAATTGCTACTTAAGTTTCAGATATTTTTTCTTGCGTCAGTCTGGTGTTTTCTATTCTGTTTTGAATTAAATAAAGAATATTCAGGCTTTCACTTTAAGGCTGCCATAGGATCTTTGCCATTTATGTAAGACTAAGTTTTTGTGAACCATTAAACCTACATAGAAAGTTACTCATTAAAAAAAATAAAATTGCTTTTGTTAAAGCAGTGGTTGGCCTTGACAGTCTTTTCAATCATTAGTGCTGAGATTAAATAAACTGATTAAATAATTAACTAATTAAAGAAACTAATCCTACTGCAAATAATTATTGATGACAATTTTGTCCAGGTTCACCTTTCCTTGCCAATGAAGATGGTGTACTTGGAGGTGTGATAGTTCTTCGGTCTTGCAGGTGTTCAGCAGAACCTGAATTATCACAGGAGAAGCCAACTTTACTAGGTAATATTTCCTTACTCATTGTTGCTTGAGGTTTGGTGCTAAATCAAGGTAAAACATTAACCAGAAAACTGTCATTGAATGTTTGCCGTTGTTTAAAAGCCACAGGAATAAAAATGCATACAAATTGTTTGAGATTATAAAACCATAGAAAGTGAAATAATAATACATGCCTTGTTTGTCTTCAAAAATTGTGGAGAAGAGCACTCTGTCTGACCTGTTAATATAATTGAATCCATCTAAGACCATGGCATAGAAATAATGGTTGCTTGAGGTGGCAGGATATGTTTTGCAAACAATCTTATTTTCAGCTAGGGATAATGCATATGCTCATTTATTGCTTCTCAGTGGCTTACGTGTCAACCACATGATCTAAAATTTTATTTTTTCTTCCTTTTTTCAAGATGGAATATGAATATGCAGAGAATAGATTTAAAATTCAGAAGGAAAATAGTTTATAGCTAGAAATTCTTTCTGTTATGCCTAGGAAAATCTCTTCAGATAAGCTGCAGTTACTGTTTGCCCACACACATAAAGACTACTTCTTTACATTCTGATGAGCAGAAAACTGCTTTGCCTCCATCAGTAGCTGACTGGTTAAAAAAGCTCTGAGCCTTTCAGCCCTATATGTCCCTGAAAAAAATGATACTTATCATCTCACCGTTTCACAGTGGAACAAGTGTACTGTAGGAAACAGGTAGTTTTCCTTAGTAGAGCAATAGCTAGGAAACTGACCTCTGTTAGACTACTGGCAGAGGTGGGTGGAAATATAATCCAGAAGCAGTAAAGTCCATGAATTATTTTGGCACGCCGCTCATACCATGTGCTTTCCTTTGGTGCTCCCTAAATGTAGGCATATATGTCCAGCCGTACTGTGTGTTTATGTATTGGGTCATATGAGCCTGGGTAATACACATTTAATTATGTACACTACCAGGATGAAAGGTTTTTCCTTTAGTTTTATCTTCTTCTCTTGTTTCAAGTGCTTCCTGAATAGCTGTCAGCTACCTCAAAGCTGTAATGCTTCTGTCGTATCTTTTAGGATCTGATACGACAAATTTGATCACCTAACTTGACTTTGTGTATTAAGGTTTGTCTTAGGCTTGTCTTAGCATCTCATCGGGTAATTCTTGAACTGCGTAATTTCTTTTTAATTGATAGGATACTCTTTAGAAAGACACCTCTGTTTTAATGCATTACTACTTTTATGCCACTGAAACTCTACATCGCAGTCATTTACTCTGTATGTAATCTTGCTCAATTCAGCAAGTAGCGTTCATGATTCTCAGTCCAGCAATCAACTTTGATTTGCACTTTCTGTGTTTAATAAACACAACTTCCATAAGAGTTTCAGGTCCATTTGTTTTGCTTTTGCAAAAACCCAGAGATTTGCGAATCTTTACTTTTCACTTAATACTGCTGGGATAGTGGTGGTGAACAACAAAGGGACTTTTGAAATCTTGAATGGGAAAAGAATTAGGAAATAGATTTTGTATGTTAAATTTTTTGTAGTTATTACTTAAACAGCTTGTCTTTTTGAAAAAGTAGGCTGTTAAGTAGTACTGCTATTGTCTTTCAATTATTGGAAAGCCAAGATGGTCTCATGCTGACTCTTGAATCAGGACATGGGGTTGCTAAACATGCAGAGAATGTTGCAAGTTTGATTTACAGTTTTCAAATTTAAGAATGACATGATTATGTTGTTATTAATCCAGTGGAAAGAATCCCACCACATAAATTCTACATCTAAAAAGGAGTTTAGAAAATGACAATACAAGCCTAATTAAACAAGAACAAATAAAAGCAGCCTTTAATTTCTTACGCTTGGAAGTGAAAGTAATATTTTCTATTTAATGTTTGACTTTGATGTAAGAAAACATGTTCCTAGTAAGGAAGACAGAATATTTTCCCTCAAATTTTATAAAGAATATCACCATACATTGTAAATTAAGACTGTTGATTTTTTTTTTTTCATTTTCTTTCCACTGAAATAAGAATCCTATAGTACAGCTTATATAGGTATTTTTTTGGTGTGTAGAAACTTCTGCCTTTTAATGTATAATTAAATATATGTACTACTTATGTTGTTTTAATTGCAGATAAGTTGTGTAATACTTAAGAACTTGGTGCACAAAGTAATGAAATCATTTGTCTCCATTGCAGGAATTTTTTTTTTCTATTTTTTAAACTATTGAAATAAATTTCAAGAAAGAAATTTATTAAATAATCGAAAATGTTTGAAATGTATGTAATGTAGGATCTTAATGTAATTCAATTGCTTTTAATAAATAGCTAGTCATGTTGCAGGCTAGTGCATGGTACCTTTGGTGAACAATGTAGGAGGAAAACAAATCTTAAAAATGTTGAAGAATGTGTCTAGAGTTACCAAAGACATACTTTGAGGGCAGTTGGCCTGAAATGTTGCTTAGCTTCTCAAAATTAAAAGATGAATTTAATTTTGTCTGCAAAAAATAAATACTTTCATTGACAGTTGAATCTTCAGGGTGTTAGGGAAGAGTTGGCCTCATTAAACACAGTTACATTGCACTGAATATATGTCACTGAAAATTTTTGCATAAACTTTGGCAATATCAGTTGTGAATCTATTACAGGGAAGCAAACTGCATACCTAAATGAAGTTCACTTTTCTTTTGTCATAATATTTACAGATCTGTCAGAATCTGCAAGTCTACTGGCATTGTCAGAAATTTAATGTTCTACTAATGGTTAATTGCTATGCAAGGAAAAATGTCTCAAAAGATAAGTGTACTCAGCATGTTATGACCTTCATCAATCATGTAGGAAA